TAAGGAGAAATTCAAAGCTTAAAAAAAAAAAAAGTAGGAAACATTAGAAATGGAAGCATCTTATTAGGCCATGAGTGAAGATTTACAGCCTGTGCTATGTGTGTAGACATCTATCCCATTTGAGTCAAATGGCTAACGGTATAAAGTTTCTACGTGGTGAGACCGTGGTACTTTCTATAGGAGTGGAGCTTGAGAAAACATCTCCTTGCTGCCAGAAGCCTGTGGAGAGGACGTTTCTGTGCCTTTCTTCTTGGAGAGGTTTCACTGTTTGTGTTATTTATGAGAAACCCACCAAAGCCAGGCCTGATTTTGCTGGACAGTATACAAATGGTACATACAGTAAGAGACAGTTTCCCTGCCTTGAGGAGATTTTACGTAAATACACAAAATGCAAAGGAAAGGGAGAGGGGTAGAACATAGCTATCAATGTTGTGATGATAAACGATATGCTAATACTCCATTTTTGGCAGGGAATGGTTATTTAGGGATTAGAAAGACAAGGAAAAGGGGAGAGTTGTGGAAAACAGAAAAGGGGAGGAGAGGAAGATAAGGGCAGCTGTGGAGTAAAGCAGAGGTGAAGGGACTGCGAGGTGAGAGTGATACAGGGTTGGATTAGAGGAGACCGTCTCTGCAGGACACGTGTTTCCTTTGACATTATGTTGTCCAAGTGCCTGGTTTCACGCTGCAAGGCAGGGAAATGGGCTTTCCTTCTCTAAGCCCTCGAGAAGCTGTTCTCACAGCCTGAGTGAGAAAGCCTGAGCCTTTTGAGCGTAAAGGATCTGTTTAAAAATACTGTTTATTTTCCTAGAACTGTAAATTCAATTAGATCATTATAGTCATTTTCATATGATCTCATTCAGGTATGTGAAGATTAGTTCAACTTACTGCATGTATAGGGAAAACTAGAGTAGAAATCTAGCCCTTGACATTTGGTATATAAAGTTTAATTCATTTAGAAGTTTAAGATTTTTTAAGTGCTAAATACAGATAGTTATTTGTTGGATATGTATTTTTAGATTATGGCTAAATTTGCCTGAGAACTGCTAAGTAACAGAATTCTCTCTATATATATTTTATTTTATTTTATTTTTGTATATTATATTAAAGTGGCTGTCTTTTCCTACCTAAAAGCTCAGTCTCCCATTGGTGTCCATGCAGAGCTGGGTCCAGCTTTGTCCCGGAGCTCCAGGCTCAGTCAGTAAATACCAGCAAACGAAAGCTGGTGGGTAGCCTGGCTGCAACCTTCCTGGTTCAAAAGTCTTCCTTCCCTTTCAACCACAGAATACATGTAAGCAAACACTGAGAAGAGAACTGTCCTGAGGCACAGCAGCTTTCCAAAAACTGAAATATAGCAATTCCAAAGAAAAATAGCCAGAAAAGCTGACCCTGAGGAGAAATCTTGCCCCTTTAGAGGAAGGAGTGAAGTGATGGTTTTGGTGAGACTTCTCAGTTTCTAATGGTTTTTGCTAGTACCGAAAAGGCTGATAACATTAAGAAGAAGTGAGGGAGGAAGGAGTTAAGTTTTTATTCTACTTAGAAGGGGGGGGAAATGACAGTCATATACAAGAGGTCTTTCAGTGCCCAACTTGAGTTTTTAAGACTGGCATCACGTTATGGTCAAAAGCTGTATAGCATTCACTGCATTTATGGGCAGCAAGTACTGGCTTCCTTTAGACCTTGTTATATTCCATATAACTTAATGAGTTCCTGTTTTACAAAGCTTATTTTGGCTTACATTCTTTCCCTGAGCTGGTAGATGAATGTCTCTTAGTGGCCATACGAACCAGCCTGGCAGGCACGTGTGGCATCAGCTAACAGGCCCCAGCTGCCCAGCATCCCTGAACTCCTGCAGGGTGACACCCGTATGGGTTCGGCACCCTCAGGGACATCCCTTTGAGCTGGGAGACACCTGCAGATGCACAACCCCATGTAAATGTGGTGGGGCTGAGCTCTTCTGCCCCCAGGAGGTGTCCACGGGCCTGCAGGCCCAGCACATCTCCCTGAGGGCTGTGTGATGGCTGTGAACAAGATCATGTTGCCTTGCCGAGCACCGATATGCTCTATCCCTGGGAGAATTTTGGGGGGTTTTGATAGGAGTGTGGGAGCACACAGCCCCTGAGGAGACCCCTCCTCGTGGGCCGTGCCACCTCACTCGGCAGCACCTGCGGCCCGCCTCTGGCATGCCAAGCGGCCCCTTGGAGAGGCACCTGTCAGGAGGAAAGTAAGAATGCGTCTCCCAAGCTTATTTCCACCGTGGGCCTCATTAGAACAAAACGAGGATTGCCAGTTGGACCAAAGCTGAGCGGAGCTGGGAACTCTCCCTCTCTGGGAAGGGGTCCAAGACCACCGACCGCCGTGCGCGCAGAGCGTTTTACCAGCACATCATCAGGACAAGCTGGATTCCCCCGGTGGCGGCTGGACCTGCACCGGGGTGCTTCAGGTGGAAGGTCACAGGGTTTAAAATTGCCTTGACAAAGCACCCTGCTCTTACCCCGTCCTAATTAATGGTCCTGTCTAGGCCCTTCTCACAATCGGCTCCGCCGCTGGAGCTGGCCAAAGCCTGCACCTGTCCTCGCTCCCCCTAGCAGCCTGTTTTTAATTCACAGCCCCGGAGTCGCCCTTCCATTGTCCAGGGTTAGGTTGCTGCATTTTCCAGGCAACAGATTAGAAAACGAGATTGAAAAATGAGTTTAGCATATGACTGTCATGCATCATTTATTTAAAGAAAAGAAACAACTCACTGGAAGGTCCATCTCCTGCTTGTTTGCCTTGCCTATCTGAGAAATGGAATTTAAATTACCACGTTGCTTTAGGAGCAGTTTGTAATCCCACTGTACCAAAGCCCTTGGTTTTTCATGGGATGGGAACAGCAGATAATCAGAGTTTCTGCAGTTAGCAGAAGCGATGGTGAGTGTAATGGCAAGATATGCTTTAAAGCATTATTGTTGGAGGTGGAAGCATACAGCTGCAAAACCAGCCATCCTGCCTGGCTGGAGGACACACCGAAGGACTTCCTTGCATCAGCTTGCTAGGATCTTCAGGGTGTGTATCTTCTGATACCCGCAGCTTGGTTCATGTCCCCACTGAAAATGTGCAGTAGCTTCTCAGAGCCTTTAACAGGCTCATATTTACAAGGAGTATGAGAGTTTTCACTTTTAGCTCAGTGTATTACTATCCTCCTTTTTTTTTTTTTTCTTTCTGCTGCTGGCACCAGGCATGCTTTCTGGCGTAAGATCCCCCAACATGGGCGTTTCGTGGACCGCAAGTTGAAACCTACTGTCGTGTGAGGCAGGGCAGTGCTGTGTTTTCATTTTGTTTTAGGAATAAGGAACATAATGATCCTGCTTGGTCCTTGGCTCTAGATCTCCAAATATTTTTCTTAGTATTTGACCCTCTCTTCTTTCCTGCTCTCCTCCATATGCTGCTTAAACCCTGCTCCCTTTTGTGCACCAGAGGTACAATTTGTCTACTTTACCCATACCTTTACCCCTCTGAAAGCTATAGGTCTGATGTTAAATACTTTACTCAGTGGAGAAAGAGGCAAGCAGCAGGCAGACATCTACAGGAGCAGCCTCTAGAATGGAGCAGGCTTGTCTGTATGGCTAATTTTGCTGAGACATCTAACTTTCAGATGGTTAAAATTAACTGAAAGGAATCTTGTGCCAGGTCTCCTCTTTGACTAAATCCCTTATTTAGTATCTAAACTTTTTGAAACAACTATAACAATGTAGTGAAACTTCAAATTCCCAGGGATAGCCAAAACTACTGTTTCTAGAGATAATATATTTTCTGACCCTCATACCAAACAGAAGAATGAAAACTACACTCCATTTCTCATTGCTGATGAGAAATCAGCAATCAATTCTCATTCCTCAGAACTGTAACGTTATTTCTGTGATGGATACTTAGAGAGGGAGAACCAAAGTTTACAGTTCTTGCTGTGACCTGAAGAAATTTTCTAAATATCGAGGTTGCAGTATTATTTTTTGCAAGCCAGATGCAGCATAGGTAATGAACACTTCATTAGTATAAAATGTATGTTTATCTAGAGCTGAGGAAACATATTAGTCCACGATCAAAACTTCCTTCTACCTTCAGATGGAAGTAATGACAGAAAATAATTAATCTGCACAGGTTTTCCTGCCAGCTCTAGCTCTGATGAGCTTTAAAGTGCAGCACGTATCTAAGTGTCTCCACAGGCGCAGGTTTAAATGTCAGCAGTGCTGATACAAGTATTTAACTGCTGAGCATTTTAGCAGTTACCATGCTTATCCCAAATGCCAAAGCCTCATTGATTTTCCTAGATGTAAAAGCCTCCAGCATCCTCTGTACAGATGTCAAAACCTCCTTCTACCTCTCTTTAGCTAGTCTTTCATGCTAATATGTCCTTTCTGCAAAAAGGGCCGTGTTACAAAGACTGTGAAGAAGATTGAGAAGTGAGTAGCTTTCAGTGCAGAAGTACCTTGATGAGGAGAAGCTATGAGGTTCTAGATGTTCCCTTAATCTGGCAGAAAAAGTCCAAATAAAAACAACCAGAGACAAGCCAGATGTATTCAAGTAAGGAGCAAGCCACCCCCTCTCTTGGTGACTTCCAACTGAGAGGACTTTGAAGGAAATACTATCTGAGCTCATGCACAAATTGTGCTTTAGGAATATGTTCATGTCTGTGCTTAGAAGGGCTAAGCGGGTAAAATACGCTAACTTACTATGCATGGGAATAATGTGATAACCTAACATTTCCTTCCAATGCTCTGAATTTTAAATTCTGGTGTGATGGTTACCTTTTGTCTTGTTATATTATAACACTTCATCATCATCTTCACAGTAGTTTTCTTCCTAAAATAGCCAGTTAACCCTTAACACCCAAGCCCAGATCTAGTTATTTCTTGTGAATCTCTTTTCCTACAAATGTTTTCTACCCCTGCAATATTCTTGCTACTGATCTCTGAAGTCTTTTCAGTTCTTCAGTGGATGTTTTCTGGTTTTATATTTTTCAGGAAGGTGACCTGCGTCACATGGTGACACTGAGGATGTTGGATAATATTACACAAGTACTGCACCTCAGCTGCTCCCACTGACATCTATGGGACTTTATGCCTATGGGATCATCAGTAAGTCAGGCACTATATACTGTAAGTGTTTATGTTTCAGAGGTGTTGTAGGAAAAATACTCAGGCTGTACTGAAAGAAACAATAATTTTAATGTTTAGTTCAAAATGACCTGTTCCAAAGTTCATCTCACATTTTCTTTGCTGTTTGTCTTCTCACTTTGTTAGTGCTCAGTAGAAAATAGAAACAACAGATCTGTTCTTTCTTCTACATTTGTTGCAATTACGCTGATTTAAATTCTGCAGTTAAGCAGTTGGAGGTGAAATATTCCTGAAAGATTCTGCAAATTCTAGCAGGACTTTTTAAAGGCAGAAATGCAAATCAGTATCCAAAAATAAATTTAGACTTGAACTCTTGGATTGAAAATTACCTTCCTGTGTTGTTTCTAGGACATGTAAAATTACTCTGACACCAGCAGAGGAGCCCATTAAATACATGACTGGTCATGTATAAATGAACCTCTTTGCTTGGGCAGGGAAGACAACGACAGGGAAGATGACCCTTATTAAAGGTAAGACACAATTTAAGTAATTCTGTCTTTTGTTAAAATGTTTTTATGCAAAGCAAAGTTTCGTCACATGAGCATCTTCCTATATGCTTATTTTGAAAAAGTGTTTCACCAGTGGTGATAATGACCATTAAAACATGAATTATATTGCTAAGAACTTAGAGATTTATGGCCTTGTGGTGGAAACTGCCTTTTTATATAATTACTTATTTTCAAGAAGTAATTATCACGGCACACCCAGAATGAAACTGTGTTGTTGTAAATGCTGAAGGGTATACAGCAGTGGAATGCATACCTTGATGGTGATTTAACAGCCTTGGTGTCACTCAGGCATTCAGCTGAGTTGTACTAAAGTGTTTATGTACTTATAGTTTGAGTCATTAGGATAGACTCTGTACAATACTAGGCAAATACTAAACAGTTGCAATCTGTCATGGTTCACTTTTGGTCTTCAGCATTATCTTTAGGTGGAAATTTTCTTCTTTTGATTTCTGCTTTTTGAAGATGTATTTATTCTGTGCATTGCACGATATGGTCTGTAGTTGCAGTTACAGAACGATGCATTTCTATAAAAGGTTTTAATAAATGATTCTCAAAAAGTTTGAAAGTTGATACTTGAATAAACACAAAGATTTCTGGATACTGCTCTGAAGTATTTAAACCTTTTGAGTATAGATTTTGAGCTGCAAAATTCATGAAAACAGGCTCTGCAATGGGAATTACTTTTGTAAGATTCTAGTTATCAAACCAGTGATAATATGAGAACTGTATTTTGGTGTTTCCTCATCAGACTAAATCCAGAGGTGCAGAGAGATGAAAAATAATCTGACAAATTCACAGTTTATGATATACTTTGAGATCTCACTGGACACTGGTAGTAGAGGGAAGGCCTCTCAACCAGTAGTTATTTACAGTCATCCTGATGAATTTCTAATGGGGATCATTTTTGACTTGTAGACTTCCACAGACGTTGATCTCCACACAGGTTAGAAGGAAGCTCCAGGATATAAACAACAGTAGCTTTCAAGTAATTCAAAACTTGAATAGATTAACTCAATAGTTTTGGACATTTAACGCAATATTGCCAGTTAACAGCATTCTGCTTTAGGAACAGACAATGTTGTCCCTTCTGAATTTATCTCTATAGAAGAGTTAAACATCTTTTGAAACAGAAGAGTCAATGCTTTTTTTGAGAGCATACACATAGATATTTTCTTTTATCATCATCCATTGTTCTAAAGAACCATTGCTTACAATATCCTTAAGTGCTCAGATTAAAGAAGAAGACACTACCCAAATCATTTGGGAGTAGATTTTTCTAAAGTTTTCCAAAGCTTTGGGCAGTCATTGGATTCATTAATACAGGGATATTCCAAAATTCCTTGCAAGTTTCTTCCAGAGCCATATTATTCATTATTTTCTGTGTGTGTATATATTTATTTATTTATTTTTTACAACTCCATTAAAGATTACAGTCTCTAAGGAAAAAAACATCAATGTCTGTGAGATCTAGGCTTACAGTTTTATTGAATTATGGAATGTTTGATTTGTAGTTGATTTTTTTAAAAAGTTTGCAAACCTATTGAGTGAATGTTGATGAATAACGTACTCTCAGAAAGAAAGAATAGCTGGTAAGAAATAGAAATCAGCTACGCAAGTCATAGCAGTTGCATAGGTATGCATTTCTGATTTGTTGACCACTGTTCAGCCAAATTTTATAACACCATTGGAGAATTACATCATAAGGTTTGCCAAGGACTCTAAGACTAAGATTTGTGCCAGGGAGTCTTGTTGTGTTAATTACGTGTTCCTTCCTACTCCTTTTCTATATAGAATTTTCCTGAAAAAAAATATATAAAAAAAAGCATGCTTCTTAAAATGTTAATTTCCTCTAAAAGATTATTTCCTCTGCTTCAGGAAGTTGGCATGCAGCAAACCACTTCTAAATCAAGCTGCAAGCCGGTACTGTAAAAAAACAAAGAGTTTATTGGTACCAGACATTTGTAAATAAGTAATTGACACTCATGCTATAACAATAAGCAATTCCAAAAAAAACAGGGAGCTGCCAGAATAAACAAGTTTGCAATGAGCTCCATCCAATGCTGTATATCCATCAGGGTCAGTCCCATCAGTGGTGGTCAAAATAATAGCTCTGGAAGCAGCTGGAGTTCTGCAGCGCAGCAGCCCTCTCCTGTTTTTGTCTTTCTTCCTTCTCTGCAGTTTTCTAGTAGGATTCCTAGGCATGGGCAGGCTCCTAGCTATAGCAGTGCTGTCTGAACAGTGGTTCAGAGGGTTGGCGACAAATTTGAAACGTCTGGAATCACTGGGGTTTGGATACGCAGAGAACCAAGGTGAGATGTGTGTCTGGAGCACAGTGGCTCAAGGCTTGGGATTTTGAGGGAACGGAATCGCTCACCACTGGGGCAGCGCTGTGGGGACAAGGCTCAGGAGCAGTGCAGGCTGTGTTTGTTCTTCCTCCATTCTTGGTGATTGCATGGCGATATGGTGAAAACATGGCTTTTACAATAGCATTTAATTAATTTTTGAGGCAGAGTCCCCTTCTGCCCACATTTCAGGCTTTTGGTTGTCTCTCTCCCATCCACCCTCCCCACCACCATTTTCTGTGCTCTCTCCTTACCTCCTGCACTTCTGCCTTCGACAGGTCTCTGAAAAGCTGGCAGAACCATGAGAGGGGCCACAACAGACCTTTGCAGTTTTTCAGCAAATGACAATAATTACGCTAAAGTTAAAGTTAAATGCCACATAAGAATGCGTGTAGGGTCTGCGTTGAACCACAGGCACTCTTTGGTAGCCATGGACATGTTAAAAATGTATTAGATAACGGGGCACCTGCGCATAAAGTTTCTGTTCAACAGAGAGTGAAATGTTATAATCTAAATAGGTGATAGTGTCTACACAGCTCTTTCAGAAAGGAAATTTTTGAGAGTTAGAGGATGGATCTCAAGGCTCCTAAAAGCCTTGGCTTGGTGTACCTGCTATATGATGAGTTTCTGTTGGCCTTGACCTTCAAGATACTTTTTTAAAGTGTTGTTCCTAGACGGAAAGACAACTGGAAGGGATGGAAAGAAAATATTTGATAGAATTTAACTCTTGATTGGGGGGCGTGAGGTTGCAGATCTCTGAAGTGAAAACAGAAAGGGCTGGCAGGTTGTTGACAAGGAAAAGTTTAGGAATGTCTCTTCTTACTCTCCAGGTCTCTGTCCAAGAAGGGTCATGTGTCATGTATCTTGTTCTTGTCTTTCTTTTTTTTTTTTTTTTTAAGTTGGCACAAATAGCAGAAAAAAAGCCAGAAAACAAAGAAGATGTATAGAAGATATACGGAATTCCAGTGAATTGTATTTTGGTGTCAGATTGGTGTATGCTGTTGAAAGTAAGTGCATAAATCTATTTTAATTGCTTGCATTAAAAAATTAAGTTTAAAATCATAAATACTATAGGTTGCAAACAACAAAAGACAAAGCAAATAGTACAGTAATAGATATACGCCCACATATATACTGTAAATCAAATATATGCTGCTAGACAGTAGAAATCCATTATTTTTTTGAAAGTTAGTAAGTTTTTCCAAAGAGATGTTGCGTTGTTGAGGCTATTCTAGGCTAATAGGAAGAGTATTTTAATTGTTCAGCAATAATCTCTTCAGTACTTGTGTCATGACAGCAGATTTCTGAAATGTTACTGAGCCAAAGTCACTCTTAATTCCTTTGATGAGTGAACCAGTGAGTGAGAGCAATTATCCCCAAATTTAGCTGTTCTTTTATTCTTAAACTGATGTATAGTTCCCCAAAATATTAACTGAATAGCTTCTAAACACTTCAAACTTCAGCCTTGCGAAACTGCTTGCATGCTATTCCGTTCAGCTATGTTGCTCAGCATTTGTGGTGTGCGAAGAACTGCCTGTGCCTATTGTTTTTGTTCCCAGATTAAATCTCTGAAGGCTTTGGCAGTTTCAAACTCTGTTGAAGTCACTGGGATCTGAAGATGCTCACAGCTTTGTAACCCTTTTAACAAACAACACCATAATAATAATAATAATTTTCAAAGGACTACCCACCGAATACTGTAAGTAACAGTAGCAAAACCTTTTCATTTTGTACAAACACCAATGCTTCTGGGACACCATTCCATTCTCCAAATGTACATATGTTTGAGCAAAGGGTTCCCAGAAACAAGCAACAAGAATATTGAGACCATTGCTCAATAACCACGGTTTTTATTTTGCAATAGTTATTGAGATCTGCAGGGGTTTTCCTGGGTTCAAAACTTGGCTGTTTTTAGTAGCAATATTTTCAGTTGTGTCATATGAATTGTTTCATTTTGTTAGAGCTGAATATTGTTATTTGCCATTTTGGAATTGCTAGCTATGTATCTTGGAGCAATGTAGTTGTATGCTGTACAAATAGCAAAAACTTATAGCAAAATGCTGTGTAATTTGAAAGTTGGCTGTAATCTCTGTGAGTCTCTCGGGTTTGTATCACTATGCAGGGGATGTATCTGAGCGCCTTTGTTATTTAGCCTGGTTGATTGAACATTATGCACCCAGATGCACTACTTTCAAAACTTATTCTTGAATGTTCAGGTGGAAATTCTCTCTCAAGAGATATTTTATTTATTTTTTTTCATATAGATAATTGCCACTTAAGCCAGTTTTGTGGAAATGACACATGGAGATTTTAAGATGACCTTCACATGTTTTACCAAAACTTAGCCTACATAGGGTTTTGAGACACGAGTACAATCAGATTCTTCTTCTTGTACAGCTAAAGTATATATGCTTTTTTCCAACAGGTTTGCATAGCCTTCCAGAAAGAACTACTCTTCTTAAGCAGCAGGTAAGGAAAATAACTTGGGTAAAAGATTTGGGGAGGAACAGGAAAGGACATTTAATATATTTAATCTTATTATACATTTTTCTACATTAAAGTCAACAGGCTGCAAATATATTCTGCTACAAAGCTTTTTGTAAGAAATATCTCTATAAGAAAATACATCTCATTAAACATTTCCTGTAAATAAATTATCCCAAATAACTACGGTTTGTAAGAGGAAAAGGGAGGGGGCTAGGCCAATGATAGGAAAAGATAAAAATTGCTGAGAGCCCATTTCTGCAATCCCCCCTCCCGCCTCCCCCCGCTCAAGCTGGGTTACATTTTCTTTTACATGTCATCACAATGAAGGCAGTAGAGCTCCTCTGTCAGTGTAAACAACACTTGCAGAATTGGTTCCTGTATTTTTTGAATATTTGAAATGATGCTATTTGTAAGCCTTATTCCTGCTTCAATTATGCGAGAAAAACTCCTCTGAAATAACCAGAGTTAAACTGGTAGAACTGTGAGATTAAAGTCTGACCGAGACTATTAAAAACAGAAGAAACTATCTCAGAGCAGTCCCTCTAGACCAATAAAAACCAACTCCAGTAGGGAAAGAGGCTTGTGAACTACTCTTATTTATACTCTTATGAAAGATAAAGGTAACGTAGCTGAGGTCTGTGTTCTAATTAGGAAATCTGAGTAGGGGTGTATAAAAGCTATAGCTTTAAAACAACCACTGATAGAGACATGTCAGTGGAAAAAGGTGTCTAAAGTATGGGTGACATGGTCTTAAAACTATATTACTGGTGTCCTTGCTTTCAGAACTGATTAAACAGAAGAATCTCTTGTGTTATAAAACATGACAGTGGGTAATTTTAAACAGCTAATTATGGTTTAGCATTAGGTCAGGTATAGAATTGGACTTTTTAAAAAAATTATCAGTCTCTTTACCAATGTCTATACAAAAGAATACTTGCAAATAAGTAAAATCAGAAAAAAAAAAAAGTTTGAAAAGACCTGTGATAGAAGTCAAACGATGTAGGCTGTCCTTTTTTAACCAGTACACAAACAATGTAGAGTTGTTAGCTGTTTTCACAGTCCACGTACTTCCATCACTCCTGGCAGAACAGTCCAGACTGAGAAAAGATCAAGTTCAGGTTGGATACACACGAGCCTGGTGTGCTGCAACATCCCATGATGCTTAACAGGTCAGTGTGGTCATACCATCTTCTTGCAGCCTTTTCTGCCGGGGAGGAGGTGCTCACAAGAGCCAACTCATTTTTCTTTGCTACCTCTAAGAAACAAATCCATTTACGCTTCTGCAGAGTGCAACCAGACTGAGCACTGGTAGCAAACAAACAGCAGCCCATTGCTACAATTAAAATGTAAAACTCTGAGTTTATAGCACTATGGGCTAAATTGCCCAACGAGTGCCTACATTGTGTGTTACGACAGCAACAGTGGCACAATTTCATAGCTCTTCATGTTATGTACTTCAACACTCTGCTGTCTGTTTTGGAAATGTCTATAATGCATGTATGTTTAGGCAAAGAAAGTATATTTAGGACTAACGAGCAACTGCCTGTATATAATTCTGGATTCAGCATGCGTGTATTTGCTTCATCTGTTCAGTCCAATGTATACTAGCAGTAAACCGAGACAAATACAAGCGATTAAGTACCATACTATGACATTGAACTACATAAAGCATTTCAGTTTACCTAAATATACGAAATAAAACCCTGTTTAAAGGCCTCTGACTAGAGAAATTGCTGCTGTCTTGGAATCGCAAGATGGCAAGTTTTCACCTCCTTTGCGAGGGCCTGCAAAATGTAGCACTCGTGTAGCACTCTTGTCCTGCAGGAGCGCTTTGCTGAAGTGTCAGCCCTGAATGACAAGAGTGTATGGACATTCACAGTATCTGCATTTCCCTCTCTCACACCTGCAATGTGTATTTTAGTGACCAATAATGTGTTGACAGACAAGCCTTCCTGGAATGCGCTGCTTCCTATATGTACAATGTATACAATCTATTTAGCAGGCACTGTGATGCTGGAAAACCCCTGTAGCCCATACACTGAACCCCGGAACATCATGGGACAGCACAGCAAGGTAAGTGGCATTAATTTCCACCGTGCTTGTTTGCATACTAGCATTTCCCACAACCTGTAGGAGTTATTTACAGAAGAACTGCACAGTGGGAAATCTCCAGCTGCTCTTGTGTTTGCCACCAGCTCAAAAAGAAATGCATTTGTGACTTCTTTCTACTCCTACCCTAACTGTTGCTTAAGCCACTCCTCTTTCAGGTGCAGTCCTTGTTTCCCACCATGCTGTAACGCATTAAATACATAAAACCACAGTCACTTGATGCTACCTTCCCAGTCCTCACTCAGATTTTCTGACATACGTGAAGCCGTGATTTAGAAGAGGAGGTCGCGTCTTTCCATACTTTGCAAGACAGCCCCTTGGCACAGTCACATCGTTGGAAAATCTCCAGTCCATGGGAGCCTTTCTTGCGCTGTTTGGTGCACACCTCCCCCTGATGCAACACAGGCTTGCAAATTTTGGTCCAGAAATGGCGAGCACAGCAGTGTCCTTCAATACAGTCTGATGACCGCAGGCAGGGATCGCCTTCGTGTCCTAAAAAGAGTAAGCAAACTATTTTACCTCAGGGGAAAACGTGAAAATACAGGTTCAGTGCAGACTGATGCCAATGAAGCTCAGAAAAAGGAGAGATGATATTTCCATCTGTGGCTATTTGAAGGACATAAACACAAGGGAAGGGATGAATTAGGAAGGTTTGGGAGGGTAATTGGTGCAAACTCTCCCAAGACTTAGGAAGGAGACTACAGGTTTGTAAGCACAATGACAAGTGCTTAATTACATGACTGTTATAAGAGGAGGATGTGTACAGTCTTGCACAACTGAAAAATGAATTTTCGGTCCCCTCTGATACAGAGAAGACAGCAGATGCTATTTCAATCACAGGAATTGTTGGTTGATGTTACATCACTTCTGGAGTTGTGCTCTGAATTCTCACGATAGAGATTCATGACCTGGGAAATGACTGTGTGTTGCTGCTTTGCATTGCTGTACTTAAACAGCAATAACAGGAGAGTTACTAACTAACTGAGACAGTGTAGTGCAAATGTGTTCTTACCTTTTATGTGTGACAGCTTGGACTGCGGCCTCCCTAAGTTTTGCCATCCCAAATCCTTGCTAGCATAATGACCGTTCTTCTTGTTGCGGGGCCCGTCTAGAGCAGGGATGTGAGGCGTAAGGATGCTTTCAGTTACAGGTACGCAAATACCTGTGGGGAAAAGTCGGTCAGTCATAGATTTCAACAAGAGGAAAAGCAGCTGAGGAACATACTTGGGACAGGATTGGGACTGGAACCATGAAGGCGAGTGGGTGCTGGGCTCAGCTTCAGCAACTCGGCTCTCATCACGGCTCTGTCACTGATCCCCGGCCCCTAATTTCATCACAGCAGCACTTCACTCACTGTCACTGTCTTGCTGTCACACTGGCTTTATGGTCTGAGCATCTGGAGACTGCCTTGGAGACATCTCTCTCTGATCTCAAGAGGAGAGTATGGGAATGTAAACAGTACAGTTAGAACCCCTCCAGGGAAAGTATCTCTAGGATTCACCGAGTCTCTTCTGCTTCCTTAAAACTATGGGTTCTTTGCAGTTGTCCTGCAAATCAAGCCACACTGACTGTAGCACTTGAAAAGATGCTGTGATTTTTGTCAGTGGCTTCATCATCTGGCGGTTTCCCCAGCCCAGAGGAGGAAAAAGTCTTAAACACAAGCCTTAAACGTAAAAACTACTATTATAGGTAATGAAGTGGAGAAAAGGTTTAAAGATACATTAAAAATACATACATATAAAATACATATATATATTCCTTGCAGTGCAGGATATTAGAAATGGCAACTGTGGCTTCCTGCACAGGCGTGCTTCAGGGAGAGGGAGGAAGGGGAAGGAGGCAGGGGAGATTGAGCAGCCTCTAGCCTGGCACAGCTTTTGAATTTCAACTCATGCTGTACTGTCACAGCTGTCCCTCTTTTCCCTTTTTGCCTCTCCTCCCTTCCCCTTCCAAGCTAGGCACCATCTGGTTCTGCATTGATATGACAACCATGAATCCACTTGGTCTAATTTTACTCTTTAACGACCTCTATTTCTCTTGGCTTGTTCAGCATAAAACTTCCCCTGTCCAACCACACAATGGATATGCAGTTATAAAATGGAGTCATAGATCAGACTGGTTTCCTATGATTATTAGATCTTGCACTTCTCTAGAATTAGAAGAGAAAGAAGATCACTCAGCATCTTTTCTAAGCCAAAAGAAAAAGACAAGTAAAGCTTATAGCTGATGATATTTTCAGCTTCAGTAAAAATACTGAATAAAATCCCTTCAGTAAAAGGGATTTTATTTTGATTTAGGAAAGAAACTGGAGTTACCCAGAAACAAATACTTCTGCTGAGAACATTTGGAAATCTATTTTCAGTAGATACTATCAAAATGCTGATTTTACAGAGGGAAAAGAAGAAATGACCAAAGAAGTACCATTGTTGCAGCGATTCCCAGGGCAGCACATTCCATCTCTGTGGCAACGCTTCTTCTTCCTCCGGCATATCATGCATGCAGATGTTGCTTGATGAGGACTGTGACAGTACCGCCCGACTTCACATTCCTTATCGTTGGTGCAAGGATAGGCCTGGTGGGTAAAAAGAAAAGTGAATCAGTGTGCAAGGTATGTATATAGTCCATTTCCAAATAAATAAAAATGAAGAAACCTGCAAGTGAGATACCATTTGCTTCGACTAGGAGATAGAGGAAGGGACACTTAACAGCAATCCTTAGGCTTAAGCTGCTGGTGGAACTGTATGACAACCTCAGGAATTACAAAAATACAACCAGATCCCTTGGTGATCATCTTTTCTTGCCTCAAACATGCGTTGGCACAAGAGGACTTGTAGTTCTGTGGATTCCAAGTTCTCAGCCCTCTGATTCATAGACAAGAACTTAAAACTCTACAGTGAAGAAAAAAACAGAGCCAGAAAACTTGTCTCAGTAGCTGGAAGTCCTGATACACTCTGCAACAGGTAACGTTTGAATTTGTCTTAATTCCATGAAGGAATTTTGCTTTGACAGGTGTCAGGTAGGATAGTAAGGTCACTGTTCTTACAGTCAGTGTCCACACCACACTGGTACAAACTCCCTTGCAGTTGCACCACTCCCCACTGACCCACACCATTTGGAAGAAAACAAACATCTCCATTCAGCATTTCCCTTTGATAACCTTTATGTATATGCTTAGTATACTCCTTAAACCTGCCAACTGTTAGACAACATCCCAATGGCATACAGCACAAAATCTCTTGCACATATAATTTCATGAAAGCAGAGAGAGACATACAAATTTTTCCCATTTTCATCAAAAACAACATTATCTTACAGGAAAACTGCCTCCTAAACAGAGGGTGAGAAGGTACTATACTTTCCTCTAAAAAGAGAGAAGGGCAAGCTTATTCCTACAAAAGGAAAAGCCACGATGCTTTAAGGACACATAATGACACCATCACATTCCAGGATCCCTTCTGCTGACTCCCACACAGCTACAAACTATGCTCACTGTCTGCATCTAATTTTACTGCCTATTAAATTAATCATAGATTTTTTCCATTCCTCAAAATTATACTTGAGGAATTTGTTTAGATAAAAAAGATGAGAATAAATTTTGGGCACTTTCTGGAAAATGATGTTTACACTTCCTCAACTAATTTTCTCCAGTGTTTTAAATGAATCAAATTGTTGTTTTTATTGTTTTAAAAATGACTCCTGCAATTATTTAACACAAACAAAAAGCTCAATTGACTAATTTTCAATGTAGAATTATTACTTTTTAAATATTTTTAATCAAGACTTGATTTTATTGTTCTCAGGAAAGACAAACATGGGGGCTGTTGAGAATTTGCTGTGAAAACTATTCTTTTACATGGAGAACTACCTTTTTCTGTCTCTGTGCCGTTCTCTTGAGAACTGGAGAAGAAAGAGGTCTGATAATAAAAACATGCAAGATTTTCTAGCTGGGTGGACCCACGCCATTTTCCATGTGATTTCATTAGTTGTTTTCTTTTTCAAAATGTATTTTACAGTAACAAAAGAGCTGCCTGGATATTTCCAGAGTGTTGCTGCTCTTGTTACTCCTGCCCTCCGAATATATGCATCTTTGAAGAGTGAAGCTAGAGTGCAGCTGTTTGGAGTAACTAGGCGTGTGCATACGGCTTTCTCCCTTAAGAATAAGCATTTCCTCTCAAGTTCACCCTCATTCATCAGAGGAGGTCAGATCTTTTAGCTAGGAGTAGTGATAAGAGACAAATGCAAATGCTCACCTGCATGGTACGCTCAAGGCATAAGTGGATTCTACCTATTCTAGCAAAGCAGACCTAGATAAAATGCTCTCCCCTCAATCTTATCAGTCCTTCCTCTTGGATTTTTCAGCAAGGAATAGTTACCAAAAAATTATCATATAGCTAAAGTAAGACCTTAATAAACTAAATAACTGAAAATGCAGAAAAGTAATTTTGTATAGATCTGTGCATGGTTTTACTGAGTTTGGAAAATACTAACACTGCTAGCAGGGGGAAATGCAAATAAAAAACAGATGAACTAGCTAAAACCTGGAGATGAAGGCATTTTAGACCCTTGTCTGTCATCAAGACCTTCATAACCGCATCTTTTTTCCAATATGGGCATGTGGTATACACCTGCAACTTGTCAGCAAGAAGCCTACTTGCAGTTTTCTTTTGGTTCCTCAAATAGCTTTAAAAAAAAGAGTTCCCTGATTCTGAATGGTGCTAACGAATGCTCTTGCGTACCATATCTAGTGTCTGTTTTACTTTTGGCTTTTAGGCTGAGTGACATTTAAAAGACATCTAAGATATGCGCCTCTCAACTTGATCTTTAAGAATGGTGAAAGTAACAAAAGGCAATTTTGACATTCAAAATTGCCAAGAGAAGCGACATACATGTAACTCAGCCTTTAGTCCCACTCTAGAGCCCTGTCCTAAACCGAGATGACATTTTTGAAATTAAAAATAAGCCAAGGCATTCACCTACCACAGGCCAACGACTGCAGCACATCCACAAATCATTTTGTGTTACATGAAGCTCGGACAACAACTGGCAAGTCCACTCAAAACCCCAAAAGACCAGCTGCCAGCCAGCTCTGTGAAAAACCTCCGTGCAAATGCCTGATGCCATCAGTTGCCTTGATCTTTCTTCCAAAACCGCCATCCATTTGGTATCTTAGCTATCAATCACTGGGAGCTTGAAACAAAAATGTCTACATAGCCTTGTCTCCTAGTCACTAGACATTCACTGGAATAACTCCTACCTCCCACAAAGTTATTTCTCCCTCTTCACCGTGCTCAGTATTAAAACACAAAAATAAAACAAAATAATATAGTGTGTACATAGCCTTGGCTAACACGAGGGAAGGAAAATGTGTTCATAATTGTCCCATTGCCAGCAGTAGCTGAGCATCTAAGTATAAATATGTATATATAGTTTAAGATACAGGATAAAGAAAAAATATTTGTAAAAACATACAAACTAACAAGAGTCTATGCATGAGTCGAGGGTTTTCAGACACTCTTACACCACAGTGCCTAAAACACAGTCTTTACGTTTGGAGAATAGCAGAGAACATTTCCTATATACAATGCAAAGACACAAATCAGTCCCAGATGGAGAGGGAAAAAGCAAGCTGTAAACCAGCTCTACTTCCCCAGCAATGATAACTAATTCTACAAGGCACTTCATCCCTTCACATTCTTCAGCTCTACATATCATTTTCTGGTCGTAAATCTCTATCCACTAAACACGGCTTTGATATTATGGGAAACCAGATGAAACTGAGATAAAATATGTAGCACTCCCTGAAGCTGCATTCAAACAATCTTGCTTATTTTTATTTTTTTTTAGCCCAGATTACATGCAATCAGGTCACTCCTAGCATGGTACAACCTAGATTTACCTGTGATAGCGTCACATTTCCAGATTGTTTTCTGATGAAGGGCATTGTTTGCTGAGATGTTTTCTCCTCAGACATGCCAATTGGTTTTGTATCCTCCTATAAAATATACTGCTGAATATCTGTCCCAAACCAAAATGCACAGAAAAGATGTACTGGATTTTATGTTGGGGGTTTCAGGCTAGGTATTTAAATGGGTGCTGCTCTTTCTGAGCCAGGATGTCCCTTACATCAGTCCACCACGACTAACCTTTACCAGCTAAGTTACAGCAACACACAAACATTATCCTTCTCTATTTTGAGGCAGAGGGAATCTCCATTCCGGTCCTTCCTGAGTTTGTATTCAAAATGCCAAGAGTACATGATAGAAATATCCAAGGAAAATGATGCAGTTTATAAAGGGGGAAGTGTTTTTTGTTTTTTCCTCCAGAGTTGAAAAAGCCCTTCCAGAACCACTACTGAGGCTCTCTCCTTTGTGTTAAGTTCGCAGTGAGGCTGAGGAAGCAAGTGATTATCTCGCTTCCATGACTACGTGGCTAATGCCGTGCCTTCAATTTAAGGAGCCTACAGGAGCGAGGTTTATTTCTAATTTCATCTGCCCCTTTTGCCAGAGGAAATCTATCTTAGCACCTTTCCTCAGCTGACTTGCAATGAGGCTTTCTTGATATGTTTGCTGGAGTCATTTGCTATCCCGCACATTTTATGTGGTCACCCTGAACCACGGAGTTTCACCACAAGCTGGAATAACACCGAGTGGTGGGGCCGTGGTGCTGTGCAGGCAGGCAGCCCGAGTCTCTCTGTCTGGCACTATAAAACGTAACGCAGAAGCACTCCAGCGGAAGAGTAAGACAGATGCTGTAATGTGCTGAAGGGTGAGTGAATAGTCTGATGGCAGGCACACGTTATAGAGCTGTGGGAGATAAGGGCTTGAATTTCAGCGTGGCCTCCAGCAAATATTTGAAGACAGTATTCCCGGCCAGTGTCTTAGTCACCAGGCTCCCATTTGCTCATATTATGATGTCTCATTTCTTTTTATGCTGAAGCTACTCCACGCTGTGCTAGCAAACTATGTCAGAGAAAAGTGAGAAGAGCAACTGGCATCCTCACCTAGGCTGTGTCATCACTTACCCAGCACAAGCAGTCCTAGACACCGCTGGCTGCAGACCCACCTCCAACACCGAGAGGAGCTGTACCTAAATAAGTGGTTTGGTGTAACAGATACCAGTACGGAGTCCCCCAAAAGCAGTTAAAGCTTTTTCTTTTTTTTTAAACACATCATAAAGTCCTGGTGCAGAGTCGGTGCTGGCAGATGATCACGGCTACTACCACTCCCAGCAGAAGAAACAGCAAGAAGGTTATTTGTTACCCTCTTACCGTGGATCAAGAAGAGAGCCTCAGTCTCATGTACCGCATAAATGACAAGCTCACTCTCGTTACCATACCAGACACTTGGCCAGGTTCTCTCTAACAAACATCCCACATTGGTTACTGAGAACTGACCTGCAGACTGGAGAAAAGCCTCTGTCAGCAGTAGAGCTGGCAAGTAAGAGTGCTGCAGAGCTACCGGGACAATCCTTCACTGCACTCCCCCAGCAAAGAGGCAGGAGCTGCTGTAAAGGTGAGACAAAGGGCACCAGGAAATGGATACACACGTTATCCTAGGAATAACCCTGCCTCCTAGGTACCAGCGTAGTAGCAATCACATTTAGGCAACTACTTGCACATCCCCGGTGATCCCTAGTTGTTAATACCCTACAGGCATACCCGTACTGTTAGGTTATGCTATCACATCCAGCAGAAATATTTTTCTGCTGTCAAAAGACCTCTTTTTTCATATCACCTATTTTCACACCGTGTCTGTGAGACAGCTGACCACAAATGAATTGGCACTGTCACTCAGGTTGTGCCTCACTTGTTCCTTAAGAAGAAAAGCTTATTTTCCTTATTCCAATTAATTATACATTTATAAAATCTAAAACAACGGCTGTTGGAGAGGTGGAAGCTGACCTCTCTACAGCCAGTGTGCTAACTGGATGATCGCATAATTTATTGATCACATAATTTATTGATCATGAACTGAACTGTAGGTGAGGGAACAGGGTTTCCACCCCTCATAAAAGAGCCGAACAATAGAGCTCGCTGCTCTTTGCTCTCAGGACTGTGCACGTTGCTCAATATCCCACAGCCATCAGGCACGATGAAGCAACCAACTGGCTCAGTCATGGTCCTATCATCCCGCTCTGGACAGGGCAGAGCTCTCTTTCTGAGCAAGGACTTTGTTCTCATAGAGCAAGCGCATGAAATAGCCACAGGGGTGCCAGGTCTGCTTTTGCTTTTCTCTCTCTCTCTCTCTGAGAATTAATTCAAAGTAAAAGCATGCCAACAAATTAGGAAATGCAAACATATGCTTTCACCAAATAGCCTGATGTCAAGAATAATTACAGAGAATACAAGTCACTGTTTGACTCCTTGGGTTAGGCTTGATCCTGAGCAGAGATCTCAAAATTGTTTTGTTTTTTAGCAGATCAGGATTGATGGGGCAGTTGCATGCAACACGTGGCCTGTAGAGCTAGATGAATACATTGCACAATGGATTTGTCCCAGTCAACTCTGGAGAGGGAACGAAGATCCTCTCTGTGCAAGGCAATGAAAAGACCTAATGGGATCTCACAGGACACAAACCTTTGTAACAATGGAAATAAGAGCTCTTTGCTCAGAACCACATAAATTGGATAACACAAAACTGAAAAGAAAAAAAAAAAAGCGCAAAACAAGCAAACAAACAACAAAAACCCTCCTCCTATAGCTTTTTTTCCTGCAAGGTGACTGAACTGCTTTCTGATAGCTTCTCACATGTGTTCAGACAAATCCACGTCTAACAGACATACTTTGCCTCGCTTTGTCCTAGCTGTGAAGCAAGCACGTAAATTAAGATGCGGATGGGAAATGACCGCCATTTACTACTATTTTGTTTTTAATCCCAAATGAGAAAAGAGCTTATCAGCAGCCATCTGGAGCAGTGCAGTTTTCCCACAGCACTGCTGATGTTGCTGTTTTCTATTCTTAGCTTGACACAAGCATAGATGATAGCGAGGGACCTCACTGTGCACAAGCAGAAAGCCACGGTTAATTTATCCCATGGAGGAAATCACGCTGTGCTCTCAGACAGCTCCAGACATGGATCCTGTCTCAGACTGATCTCATCAGAAACTCTCAACTCTCGGTGACTGCTGTGGCACAGACCATTCCTGAAAGCAAAACTCACAGTAGTTGCAGTGAAACAGATTTACTCCATTCAGTTGCCATGACAAGCTTAACGATCCCATTTTTTATTTTTTTCCCCAAGCCTCTTTCTTGTTCAAACATCTCTGACCCACTTCTCTGCCAGACCCAGCGAGAACAGCACCATCTTCTGCCTCTAGATTAAGCACAGACACTTTCTTCGAGCAATAACTTATTTTTAACTCTTCAACTTAAAACAACACTGCTGTTTATGAGGTCTGATTCAGCCTGACATGGTGCTACATTACGGATGTGTACATTGCAGCCTCCAAAGATCATTCCTTCAAACTGTGTGGCTAATGGCCCCAGAAGCCTGCCTTATTAAGACAATAAATATTCGTGTTTGAAAGTAATACTCAATCCACTGCTAGACCACCAGGGGAAGAACATTTCTAAAACATGCAGTAGTCCAAGCTCTCACAATTTGCGAGAGCCAAAGAAAACTGAGATCTTAACAACCAAAAAACAAACTTCACTGAGGGCTCTCTGAACCGGCACGGCTGCAGGACTCACGCGGGTCCTGACTCAGGTTTTCCTCATCCCAACAAAATGTCATGGAAAACAACCTCCTGCTCGGCCAGCAACAGGGACTTGCACGGGGAGATGTGCTTAGGGAGGAAGCGTGTGGCTGCAGTACCTGGGGAAAGAAGTCAAACACCTTAAAATAAACATGGGAGCTGTTGCCCTGTTGCACACACGGCTCTCCAGCACAAATGGTACCTCTTCCAGTGTGGCCAGAAGACTTCCAAAGACCTTTCATCTAATGGAGTCTCAATCGTACTGTGATCTGATGCGATCTCCCAGCCATAGGGTGGTCAACTAGCATTTCTGGTCGACAGCACAACCTCTTGTTCAACAGCTCACAATTCAACACCTGTTCTTACAGAACTTCCTCTGGTCTGTGTCCTGCTGAGAAGAGGTAAATGGGGAGTCTCTTTAAAGCTGGCCTTGCCTTCAGGAGGACATACAGAGAAGCTAAACTAGAAGGCTGTAGTGCTGAATTGAGCTACTCCAGAGTCACAGAGGTGCAAAGTTAAAGTGGCTCAGTTGAATGCCTGGGTAAATACTGCTATTTGCACTGTGTTGGTCTTAATTTAGTGTGTTCCACATGAGCTGTGAAAGTATAAACTCATAGGTTTAAGACACTTTAACTAATACACCTTCAAGTTTATTCAACTTGATGCTCCTTCGATTCCTCATCTAGATAAAACCTGGAATGAGCTCTATTTCCAAATGACTTATAGCCCAGCACACTATGCCCAAATCATCTTCAGATATATATTATCTATACCATAAAACAGCATAAAACGACTGCCAGGATGCAGCATATATCTCATTGTTCCCAAGGCAGCTCAGCTCTGAGTCTTTCTGTGCTATCACACCTTTAAGGTAAGTTACCAGCCTCAGGCTCATACTGGTGTCACTCTGCTGAATCCTCCCATGTCAAAGGAAGCATACCACGTGTCCTGCACTATGCATGCAGGTGCTCAAATTTCTCTTCCCTCCCTTGCATCACAACCATGGGACTACACAGCAATGCTCAGCCTTTGGAGAGACCAGGAGTCTCCTACACTGCAAACACAAGTCTTGAGTTTGAAGGAGACCTCCTCTTCCATAAAACTGGTACCTTACAAAAGAAATGACTAAAAAGGTTCAAAAGCATGGGGAAGAGTCATTTTGTCCCCACGTTTTAGGGGTTTTGTCCCAGTGTACATGTATGTGGTTCATACATGCCTGATAAACTACCAGCAAGAGCACGACAACAGACAGCATCAAAACAACGTTAGGTAATCCTTGAAGCCAACAATGTAGTGCTAAATCAATGTGACAGGAAGCCTCTAGGTCTTGGTTTTATGTCATTTTCAACTGCATCACCAAAGACCGCCCAGAGAATAAAGGTTTGTTAACACACACTTTGTTCTATGTCCAGCCTTCACAGCAGACTCTTCTTGTCCTTTTATCTCTGCCTTTTCCCCACCCCTTTTCTAATGGTTTTGCTTTTTAGTTTTGTCTCTAATTGGCTGTTTCAGAGTAGGATTCTTCTGGCTTTTTGACCAGCGTGTTTACGGCTATGGATGAGCAGTAGGTTGCCAAAAATGGTTTTCCCTCGGGATCTATTAACTCTAGAAGTAGGGGTTATTTTATTCATCTCAGAACATTGCCCAGATGGAAGCAGCTAGCAGATCCTGTGGCACAGAAAGCACCAGGCACTAAACTGCAGGTAGGTACTCAGATATTACGACTGGGAGTAGAGTAACATTGCTGGGAACCGGCAGCAAGTCTCTGTTCAAACACCTGGATCTGCATGTCCCCAAATTGCAATACACTCTCAGGGTGGAGCTTTTATTGGGAACCATCCCTGCAAACATGCATCCAGCAAGAAAGATGAGACGACAGCTTTACTTTCCGAAGTGCAGCTACTGAGGAAATACACTTCCTTTGCTCTTAAACATCCACAAAGTCTAGGAAAAGCAAGGGGGAAACCCTGTCATATTGAAGTCAATGCAAAAATTCCATTTGTCTGCTCCAGAGCCTGGAGAGAAAATGCTTCCAAGTTATAACCATTTGTGCAGTGTCTGCAGTCCTCATCCTGGAAAGGACTCCTAGGTATTCCCTGCAGAATACACTTTGCACTGCAGAATACACAGCATTTAAGACACTAGTTTTCAAAATGCAGTTTCTCTGGCCCTCCTGTTTAAAAGGACAGCCCTGAAGGAAACATGAGTTCATGTCAGCTGGTGAGACGGCCAGAAGAAGACGAAGAAGATGAAGGATGTTTCTTCAGATCTTACATTTGGTCTGCATAAGACTAAGAAACAGGAGGAACCTGTAACGCAACCTGGCTTTCCCCATCACAACAGCAGGAAAAATTACAATACAGGAGCTGCAGCTCCTCATCCTGACTCCTTCCAGCATCAGCTGTGCTTGCAGCAGGGCCAGCAGTGCTCATCCACTGGGACAACCTGAAGAGCTGCCATCCTGGGGCAGGGCTGGGGCACAGCCACCCCCTGTCGAGTGGTGAGTCTTGGGTTGCTCCCTGTTCAGCTGGCTCCTCAGCAACAGGGAAAAGGAAAAAACGTAATGCGAGGCTATTAAGGCGAATTATCACACTTGACACAAAGGAGGCCAAAGATGGCAGAAAAGGAAAGGACCCTTACAGCGTCATTAAAAAGTCATCATGCTCTTATTATATGATTAAGTTAGGGCTGCCTACTCGACTTCAGCCTGTGGTAAAAATCGTAGCAATCAAGGTTTCAACACTATTTACCCTTTTTTTTTTTCTCCTTTTCTTTTAAAATGCTCCTAGTTAATTTTGCACAAACAAGCAAGCATGAACAACACAGCAAGGCAAGAATAACTTGTGAGTAAAACCAGATGAACACTAACATATTTACATAGTGTAATGACTTCACTATTAATTCAAACAAACCCAGGCCCCAATTCTCCGAAGAGAGAGCTCAGCACATGCACTCCAGGAGGCAAGAACAGGGTGGCTTCAGACTACATTTCTGTCTGCAGTCCCGGAGTGAGCAGGGGCTGCTCTTGGTTTCAGCCTGCAATAGCCACCGAGGGACCATCTTTCATTCCAGACATCGCACTCTGACTACGCCCTCTTCTCGCTCTTACGGGCCCCTTTCCATCTCCAGGCAAGACTTCTCTCAACACTAGGGACCATAACACAGAGGGGATGGGACGAAAATGTGGAAATCCCTTAGGGTCACAGTCATGCGATAAAAAAAAGAAGAAAAAAAGTAGACTCAGGTTTTGTATCTGCAGGGGATGGGGGTGCAGAATAGTGGCAGTCATTTCTTGATAAAGGTACCAAAAAAAGTCCAGAGAAAAAGATTTAATCCTATGCAGTTCATAGATCAAGTCAAAAAGGACACTGTGCTCTTCTAGTGGTGATCAGCACACAATTACCTAGGATTCTGGCACATAGCATTGGATTAACTATAGGTCCAGCCCCATCCTCAGAATAAGCTGACTCTGCAGCTAAGACTGCAATTTGTCCTCTTCCCTGCTACATTTTGCCATATTTTCTGGACTTATGTTTTCAAGCACTCTCGTCTAGTCTGAAAATAATATTCTTTATGTGGAGTTATGGAATCTCCTCTTTGTTCCTAGATGTCTTGGATGTTAATCAACATAAAGTCATTAAAAAGTTTAATCCCCTATGCTTGGCACAACATCAGACTGCGAGCAGTTTCTTTGTAACAGTCTTTGGAATAAATATCCATTAAAGATTTGTTTTTTCCTTATACTGGTCACCCACATTTTATAGTGGGTGGCCCTTTCGTTTATCCCCTTACTGTATTTCCATTTCTGAAGCTAAGCCAGATGCAGCAACCTGATCCCATTTTTCAGTTCACGCAAGTTTATTGTAATGAAAAGTTCCACGTCTATCTGAAACTTGTTAGGAAAGCCAAAGAAACAGGAACCATGGCAAAACCGCACCACCTTCTTGACAGCTTTTATTCTGC